CTGCTGATCTAGCAGTAGCCTGCAGTGCTGCATTTAACCACTGCGCCACCTTGGCTCATGAGGTAGAGCCAAGTCTATCATTAGATAGACACCTACATATACATTTGAAAAATAAATAAATAATCTGTGGGAGGAGGATATTCCAAAACTCTCTGCCCTGCCAGGTAACAGATGGGATGCACATTCAATGTGCCTCTTTGAGATGGGTAGATATAATCAGAGAAAGGCAGTCCCTCAAATATCCCATACTGCTACATTCTGCATTGATATAGCTTCTGGATGCTCTTCAATGGAGTCCCAAGTAAAGAGCATTCCATTCAGGAATTGGGCAAGATACAAGTGACCATGTGTAGAGTCTCCCAGTGCAGGAACAGACAAACTGCACATAATACAACATTGTGGAAAGATGTTCCTAGTCAGCTATCACCTGCTCTTCAAACAGGAGTCACAAATCTAGGAGGCCCCTAATTATGCATGGTTCTCTTTGCAGTAGTGCAACCTTATTCAGAACAAGAGAAAGTAAGTCTCTGGAATCAGCGGACCCTTATACTGTAACAATAACAAGACTTGGTTTTGTTTGGGTTGAGCTGAAGCCATCCAAATCCACACTGGCTCTAAAGCAGTGGTGGGCTCCTGCCTGTTCGCCCTGGTTCAGGAGAACCATATGTTAATTTTCTGAACAGTTTGGCTGTTGGAAGAAATCTTTTCCCACTTTACAGGGCTAATCCTGCAAGGAATGCAGGAAGGAAAGATTCTAGTGTGCCTGTATTTCTAGCCTAATCCTTATCTTAATTGCCGTCCCTGCCGCAGAAACTGCCACTAACAAACTTAATGATTCTTGGCAGTAGCCCAGACTTTCTGTCCGTAGCTGAGCTTCTCCGGAGTTTCCCCCACCCTCCAAGTTTTTTGTTGTACTTTTATTGAACAGCTATTTACAGAAGGGTTGGCATAGCCATAGAAGAAATGGCTGAGAGGCAAGATGCAAGCTTGGCATTCTGTCTGATTTTTAACTTTGTTTGTGGTAAAGCTTGTACTCAGCGAAACAGTTGTTAAACCAGTAGAATCCTACCTCTGGTCTGCTTATTTCATGAATATTAACTTTTTGTAAAGTCTAAATATCTCTTTATTTTGTTTCTCTTTTTGTTTTATTTCCATTTAGTTTTAGTCTACAGTTTCTCCCCTTTTCTACTACCTTTTTAACCCAATCTGGGATGGGCAGTTGTTCTTTTTGCTATTTCTGCTGTAAAGAACAGTGTCCATATTTATATTATTTATCTGGCGTTTTAAGTATGGGAGTATCTGATATATGTAATAGAGAGAAGATCAGTTAATTTTATGAATGAAGTACCAATTTACAAGTATATCACATTCTTGAAAATATGTGAATCTTCAGGCTTGGTTTCAGTTTCATTTCAAAGATAGAAAACCTGTATAGGATTTTTCTTGAATTTATATATTTTTTCTAACTATTTTTCCCTTACACAGGAGTCAACTTTCAAGACAGAAAAATATGCTATGTAATTGATTTCTCCACAGGAATCCAACATGATACAAAATTATAAAAAAACTATTGTTTCGAAGAAAAAGGCAATATAGCAGATTGTTATATTAGAATTTAGCAATATCCACTTTATATAAATAAATAGATAAGATGTACATACTGCATGAAGATCCTCATATTTCTTCATACAGCATTCACAATATCCTTTTCTCCTTTTATGCTTTGGAGGAACCTGATTCGGGCGTTTTTCTCTATCACTATTTGTAGGGTTTCTATTCTCAAGAGAAAATAAACATCTTATTTATATTTTGTAAGACAAGCCAACAGGAACTAGTAAAAATTCTGGCCAATTTTAGTAGCCAGTCATGAATCCAATCCCATTGTGACACATTTCATATTCATTTTCATGTAATTATAAAGAATAAAAAGGAACCTGAATTCTAATTGTGAGGAGAATACAAGAGGTTTTTTAAATCCTTAATGTTTAAAAATAATTGTACTCTTGCTTAGTATGTGTCTGTCAAAGTACAATAACATTGTTAATTTAAAATCACAAACCTCTGCCCAAAATAGTTACTCAGAAAACCATTTTAACGTTCAGTACTGAACATCAAGTAATATATAACATTGACAATATAATGATATAGAATACTTCAATGCATGTTGCACATAAAAAGAACATTTCTGTTTTCTTCATTATTCTAACATAAGATATGGACAAGACTACTATAATTCTATAACAAATATGCAAGGCATATAACCCTACCATATTAAGACTACTAATGAATGTAGACTTCAATTAAAAAACAGTATCTCATTTCTAGTTTCAAAATAGGAAAAAAGATATTAAATATGTAAAACTAGTCTCTAGCACCACCTATCAGTAGGTATAATAAGTTTCTTTCTTAAGAGGAAAAGCATTTGTTGATCCCATTAGAAAATGGGACATATTTTTTCATCTATGCATAGCATTTTATAACTAAGGATTACATCATATGCTATTTTATTTCTATAGTTACAAAATTAAAACATCTAATGCAGTTTGCTATACCTAATCAAAATTACAGATAGTCTTTGCTTACTTGAACACTCATTCAGTGATTGTTAAAATTATGTGGGACTGAAAAGTTGCAATCATTGCAACATTCTCATAATCACATGATCACAAAGTGGTTGGCAGCATCCTGAGGTCACATGATTACCATTTGTGATTTTCATAGCCAGTTTCTAATAAGCAAAGTTAAAAGAACAGGAACTCACGAGTCACAACCCATTAACATTAACAACACGTTATGATTTGTTTATTGACTGTGATCAATGTTTTAACTAAGACACAGTCATGTGACTTCATTTTACAAGAACATCACTTAGCAAAAGAGATGCCGGTTCCAATTGTGGTTGGTGAGGATCACCTGTATAATTTAAGATTACAGTCTAATGGATAATTAGCTTGCAAATATGGAGGGAGGCGGGGAATGTCATATAGCTGCTTAAAAGAAATCAATTATATGGAAACAGTTATTTAGTGATAGAGGTTTACAGAGAGCCCCAAGTCAGATATCAGCTAGGTTTATTAAATTAAAAAATTATAGAGCAAGCCATAGGCTGGTCTTAAATTATGTAGTAAAACTCAGACCTGCTTCCATATATTTCTGCATAACTAAATTTTGTCATTCACCAATGCATTTTCATCTTATTTATCTTACATTACCTTTGTTTATTGTGAATGTGCTTCTGGCCATGAGCATTTTTCTTTTCTACATCAAATGGGCTGCAAGGCCTTGGATTAGAATAGTTGACAACAGGGAAGCTGGACAGTTGAAGGTAAAATGGTCTATAGCGACTATTAAAAAAAAAGTCAGTTCATTACAAAACATACACATAATCAGAAGGAATGCCTTTTATACTGTATATATTGTACTTCCTTGAAATACTATTTCATCCAATAGTCACTTTTACATCTTTGTTTTTCAAACATGGCAACTTTAAAAAGATATATGTCTAAGTACTATTGCTATATCAACTCTCAAAATTCCCCAGCCAGTATGCTGCTAACGTTACTGAGTTTGAAAAACATTGCTTTAGAGTAAAATTAAATGAGAAAAATGTGGAAACATTAATTTGTTGTTTATATCATTCTATATTCTGGACCACAAGCACAGTTATTTTTTTAATCAGAACTGAGCAAGGTATTCCCTCAGTTCCTACCTTTATTTCTAGCAGCATCAAACATTTAATGTGGGCAATTCTGCCAACAATTTCTTATCTCAAGATTTCATTTATTACCCACTATGGATATCATATCTACCCAATTGCATATTTTCTTAGCGTGCAGACCAGAAAAGGCAAGTAGATAAAAGTTACAGATTCCTCAAAGTGCTGAGTATATACCGACTTTCTAAGATAATACAATGGTTTCTTTGAAATTTTAAATCTAGATTTATCTATATCTAACAGAAAACAGTAGATTGATGTTTTTTCCTAAAAAGCATTTACAACATCTACATCAGAATACTATCTTTGCAGAATACTGCTACAAAGGCAGTACTTGTAAAAATGGTTCTGGTTACAAATAACATCTAGTATAACTATATCAATAAATTAAAATATGCCTGAGAACAAATGTAGCATAGTAGCATATAAAGCATGTGTTCCAATCCCCTTAATTCATTAACATTTAGGTAATTGCATCACGTTATAGGCCAATCTCCTTAAATGGAAAAAAAAATGAAAGAGATAAAGATGGATTATATCTATTTCTCATATGCCAATTCAAAAATTCATAACTTTGAATAGATCTATTAAAATAAAAATAACAGGCTATTCATGTTAATTTTGAATTGTTCTACAACATTCCATATAAAACATGACTAACTCTGAATTAAACAAAAATTAAAGTTGAATGTAATAATTTATAGTTATCATTGCATAAAATAAAGTCAACAAAGCCAAAGGACATGAGAGTAGAATTTTAATTCATCTAAAAATATCACTTACCACCTTCTGTCCTCTACCTTCAGAAAAGGATTTTTCAGTTTACCTATGTAAAAGAATTTAAACCAAATAATTTGTGCATGTGTGCTTGCCTGCCTATCATCCATCCATCCATCCATCTATCTATTATATGGCAGAAGGGACCTTGGAGGTCTTCTAGTCAAAACTCTTGCTCAGGCAGGAAACCCTTTACTATTTCAGACAAATGGTTGTCCAATTGCTCCAGTGATAGAGCTTCCATAACTTCTGGAAGCAAGTTGTTCCATTGATTAATTGTTCTGTCAGGAAATTTCTCCTTAGTTGTAGTTGTTCCTCGCCTTGATTAGGTTTAATCCATTGCTTGTTGTCCTGCCTTCAGGTGCTTTGGAGAATAAGTTAACCCCTCTTTTTTGAGATAGCTCCTTAGATATTGGAACACCGCTGTCATGTCACCATCTACTCCTTCTTTTTATTAAACTAGACATACCCAGTTCCTGAAATCGTTCTTCATGTTGTAGTCTCCAGTCTAATTATCTTTGTTGCTCTTTTCTGTACTTGAGTCTCATCTTTTTTCATATCATGGTGACCAAAATTGGATGCAGTGTGATCTTACCAAAGTATTATAAAGTGGTATTAACACTTCACATGATCATGATTCTATCCTCTGTTAATGCAGCATAAGATTGCATTTGTTTTTTGGGGGGCAATTGCAGCATGTTGCTGGCTCATATTCAAGTGATTGTTTATTAGCACTTAATTACTTCTATTGAGCTAAGTACCACCTATACGAGCAATAGCGAACCTTTTTTGGCTCACGTGCCAAAAGCAAGAGGAGCACAGGGGAGGGGAGTCGTGTGCGGGCGTGCCCCACCCATAATGCAATGTGCGACACCCAGCATGCATGCGCACATGACAGGTGCGAACCCCGCCATTTTTTGCATGCTTTTTTCGCCATTCCCAGGCTCCAGAGGTTTTATAGGCGCCTGGGGAGGGGGAAAACAGCCTCCCCTGCCCCCCTCCGGAGCACAAAAAAACAGCCTTACGGGTATGCAGGAAGTTCGGGAACGGACTTCTGGTTTGGTCATAGGGCCGATTTAAGCACTATGGAGCCTTCAGGAGCCTTCACTGAAGTCTAATTTGTCCATTGGGCCATTTTTAGTCCTCCAGAGCGCTCAGGAAAGCCTCCAGAAGGCCCCTGAAGGCTTAAACCGGCGCTACAAGCAAATCAGAAGTAACTTACGATTTGCTCGTAGGGTAGTTTTTCATCCTCCAGAGCCTTCAGTGAAGCCTCTGGAAGGCCCCTGAAGGCCAGAAGTCCATTCCTGAACTTCTGCTCTGGAGGCTTCAGGGAAGTTCAGGGCCTCTTGGGGGGAGGCTGTTTTTGCTCTACCCAGGCTCCTATAAAGTCTCTGGAGCCTGGGGAGGGTGAAAAATGTCCTTTAAAAAAGGCTAAAATCAGGTGGCCAGCACGCGCATGCGCGCTGGCGAGCTGACAGGGCAATGCCTCACGTTCCTGACAAATGGCTCCACGTGCCATAGGTTTGCCATCCCGGACCTATACTATACCTGTGCAGTTGGCTTTTCTTGCCTAAATGTAGAACCTTTCTTTTTTGCCACTATATGCTAGCCTTTTCCTTTTTGATCCTTATATACAGGTAAAACCTCTTAAAAAGTAGTACTACTGCCTATCCTGCTACATTTCTGTTCCCAATCTCTGTAAATCATTCTGTACAGAAAGTACATCTTTTTTCAGATAGGTCATTGGTGCCAAGATGTACATCATCATCATAGTTCTTACTATCATTCTTACTATCTTAACAATGTGTCTCTTTTCTCTGCTGGCAGTAGCACCAGGCAAACACCTCACCTGTTACAAAACCTCCAAATCCTTTCCTAAATTGACATCACATCTCTTACAAAATGAATCACCAAGCAGAAGGTGGCTTTTCTTTTTAGACACCTTGCTTATTAAATATATAATCTTTCCGATAACTATATTTTTTCTTTTAATAAAAATGGTAGCAATATTAGTTGTCTTTTGAATACTTACTTTTTACTTTTTGATCTGCAGATCCTCTCTCCTATTTAAGAGAAATAATAATACTATAGTTATGAGATTTGTATAATTTACAAGTAATCATCTATATTCAGCAACTGGCCCTCTAAATAGTTTTAAGTGTGAGTCACCAAACACATAAAAATAATTTTTGGGTTACAACAGCAATTAGAACTGAAATTGCCATTGTTAAGAGATGCAGTCAAAAAGCGTGATACATGGCTGCATTGTTAGTGATTATAATCTAAGCATTCCTGCCATCATAACCCTAAGACAACTTGGGGGAAATATGAGGAAAGAGTACACGGGTATATTCAAATGCAGACAGGCCAAAGGAAGAAGGGTTTATTGTAGTGGGCAAGGCCAGAGCAGAGCAGCTTGTGACTTCCCTGAAGGCTTGCCATTTAATTCACTTGTGGAAGGTCAGTAGAGAAAGTCACAAATGGGGAACACATGATCATGGGGTGCTGCAACCGTCATAAGTGCAACCTGGGTGCCAAACACTGTTATGTGACAAGGAAGATGCTGGGGTAGTCATAACTGTGACTCAATTGTAAGTGCCACTTGTTCAGTAACATTTTAACCTCAAGCTGAATGTATGGTCAGTAAACAAGAACTATCATTCTTATTTGTGATGAAAAATGTTTTTGGTTTAAGTAATCACGTTTTAGGCTCTGGAATATTTAAAGTACACATAAACGAATTGGGAGGATTGAATGTGCAACTACATTTATTTTCTCCATATTTTCTGAAAACAAGTAAATGAAATGAGTTACATTTTTCATTCTGTATCACAACTCAACTTTATTTCTATGCTAATAAAGAAATTCTGGTAGAATTGAGAATTGAGTTTGAACTGCATACTAAAATATCCCTAATTTAATTATAAATTGTTTATTATTCACTATTTTAAATTAAACATCGATTAAACATAGCTTTTTTTTCTAACAATGGTTCTAGGTGGACAAATAAGAATTAAATCAGAAAAACATAAAGATAAAGAAGTATAATGGTATATGGAAATGATATTGAGGCACAAGAGGAAGAAATGCTGCCTAGGGAATGATCAGACAAGAGACAGAGGAGCCTCCAGTGTTTTAACTTTAGAAGAAAGAAACTGAGGAAGGACTTGCCCTAATTGATCAGGCTGTTAACAGAATTAGATCAATTGTTTGTTTTTCTTGTCTGGTTTATCTGGAAGAACTGACATTACTTAAATTAACAATAATATATACCATGTTTCTAGTTTTAAAAATCTAGTATTAATCCATACAGAAAAAATATGCTAAATGAGGAACCCATTATACAGATTAGGATATAAATTTCTTTAACTGAAGTAGAAACAGAAAAGTTTATTTTCTCATGATCTTATTTCAGGAGTGGGCAAACTTTGATAAACAGAGCCCATGTAAAAGATAGCTACTACTGATAAGACAACAATGCAAAGTGAGCAGATTTGTGTCTCGGACACTGATACCAGGATTTTCTGAATTTTGAGTGTGTGTGAAATTTTATTGTTTATGCTGCTGAGCATTCTTTAATGGTTTGCACTAATATTTTTAAATCTTTCCCATTCCAAATACCAAGAGAGATTAATGGAGCTTTATGCTTTCACACATCTATGAGGTCTCAGTCTTCCTCTTGCAAATTATGAATAAATACTAATTAGAAGTTTTAAAGAAGTAATCCCATTTATTGCTTTTTGCTGTCTTTCTTGGAAATTAAGTAGTTTACTTACGACATTGTTGGCTTCTGTGCTTGTTTTCTTAACCAAAAAGAGGTCTTTTTTCTTTTGCTCAATATAGTTCCTAATATCTTTTTTCAAAAAGAAAAGAATAATTAAAATTATTATTTTATGTCATCTAAGTTGCTTAAATGGAATAAGTCTTTTATATGATGGAATAAAATCAGTTTTATTTTAAAAATACTTGCCATCAATGTGAAGTATTTTCACTCCCCAACTCAAGGCATTTGAGAGTATACTACCAGAAGGGATCAATTCCTGTAATATAATTTGAATATTTCTATCATTACATTTGAGCATACAAATATTTAAATACAATTAAAAACTTGAAGTGCAGGTACTCTGTATCCTAAGCCTCTTTCCACCCTATTAATAGAATAAAGTATAAAAGTAAAATTCCATTTATGCCAATCAGTCTTGTGACACTATAGAAATAAGGTTTGCCTAACTTAAGCTTGAATAAACACAGCACTATGCCTTACTAAAAACTATAATATACAGGTAGACCTCAACATACAACCACAAATGGGAAAAATTAAGCGAAATGGTTGTTAAATGAGACACTCACATGTCTGCTTTTCTCGACAACTGCAATCATGGGTTGCAATTAAATGATCTCCTGGGTCATTAAGTAGACGGAATGAAAAAGCTGGGTGCTTGGTAATTATCATAATTTCGGATAGGTGACCAAGGACTTAGATCAAGCAATCAGCCAACTTTGGGAGGAAGGGGGCATGGTGACAATATTATATTGATCAGAAGTAATTTACAGGCCATAAGCACCCTTTCCAAGGCCATCTTAACTTTAAATGGTCATTAAACAATTGGTCATAAATTAGGATAGGAAAAAAATGGCAAACATTTGATTTCATAACAAGCAGTGCCAAAAAAGCTATCCTAAAATTAGATATTTATCCATTAGCAAATTATGTAAATTTCATGTGGAAATAATAAGAGAAGAAATCTAATTTGAGATGAAATAATGTTATTAAGTGACATATACCTGATCCTTGATTGCCTTTTCCACTAAAGATTTTCCTCTACTCATGCGCACCTATATTGAAGAAGAAATAAAGAGTATATATGGGTTACAGCTGTTACTCCACACAGGGTTATTTCAAATAGTTACTTAGTGAAGTTTATTACTTTGAATTTTTTAAAGGTTTACAAAATTATTTAGGTTAGCATGATATTAAAGTTAGTAAATTAAAATTAATAAATTAGTGATATCAAATCTGATGTATTGGTTAAGGAATCATGCCAGAAACAATGACTTTTAGTCCTTCCTTAGGCATAAAGCTAGCTGTGTGACCTTGAGTAGTTACTTTGTCTTAGTCCTAGCAAAGGGGACAATAAAAAACTATTTCTGAAAAAATTGCCGAGAAAACTGCTGGGACTTATCCTGGAAATGTTCAAGAATAGAGCATGACTGAATGGGGAGAAAAGATTAGTAAGGTTAGCTATCTATGTATGAGTACACATAATCACCTTATTTGTGATTATTTTTAATTTGATGTCTGCTAGCTAAACTACTGTATTTCTATTACCAAAATGGAAACTTATCTTAAAAAGACTGAACAGTAATTATATTTAAAAAATAAACAAAAACACAAATTACTATCTGAATATATAAGCAATGGTACAAAACATCTGCATGTAATGTTCACTGATTTGACTATCGTTTTAACTCAGCCAGCAGAAATGAATTATGGATAAATTAAATGTCTATGGAGATTCTCTGTCATCCAGGTCGTGGTTGTCCCAAAGGTGCTTTTTTTCAAGAGGCAATTGGACTTTCTGATTTTTCTTTGAAGACATTTCACTTTTCATCCAAGAAGCTTCTTCAGCTCTGTCTGGGTGGTGGGGAATGGAAGGATTTACCATATACTCCTTGCAAACAGTTGGTCATTTGCATTCTTTTAGCATGTTATTAAGGTCACCTGGAGTTTTATCTGTGTCATCAGGATCACCTGAATGGTGCAAATTGTTCAATTTTGACATAAAAGAGGGGTTGAAGAGGCCATTTATGTCAAAATTGAACATACTCTCTCAACAGGGGGAGTCATGTATCTCCATCATCTACGAACACAGTCCTTTCAGCCTTCCAAGAAGGTTCCACACCAACTTGCACAACTCAGGTGACCCTCTGATGACACAGAAAAACCTCTAGGTGACCTTAATGACCCACTAAAAGAATGCAAATGACTAGCTGTCTGCAAGAAGCATAAATCTTTCCATTCCCCACCATCCAGTCACAGCTGAAGAAGCTTTTTGGTCTTCAAAGAAAAAACAGAAAGTCCACTTGCCTCTTAAAAAAAGCACCTTTAAAATATGGACAATTAGTTAACACTGATATAGATTACTGTCTTTTTTATATAGTGAAACATTTATATTTTAATACAACTATTAGGGTGAGGATAAATTTATATGCATTTCTTATGGAAGTAATATTCAGTATATTGTTTAATTTTTACATACAGTTGGTGATGCCTTATTTGTCAACCACAGTTTTTTTAAAGATAGCTATTTCAGTGTACACTGATGTTTGTCTCTTGATAAGAATTGATAATGTTTAAGAAGTTAATCAATTATTGCTCTAAGGAACAACTACAAATGAGTTACGCCTATAGTAAAGATAGCAAAGTTATAAATTTGAGGTAATGTTTGAAAACATTTAAATAGTCTTTTGGATGGGCTGCTTTAGAACAGTTTAGAAATTTACAATACTTTGTAAAACATTATCTTGAAAGGCTCACACAGTATATATGTCAAAATTGTAATCACTGAAACTATCGAGACATTTATAATTTTTTATCAAATGAAAGGAAAGTTAGCACACCCAAAATTGTTGTTCTATGGGAAAATTATCTTGCAAATGCTATTTGGAGAAGGAATTTGATGGTGTAATGCCCATTATCCAAGATTTTTACAAGGCATATAAATAAGTTCTGCAAAAAAAATATCTGGAGCTTCTTAAAAGTACTTAGGCTTTTCTTCTATGAACTAAACTGGTTTTACCTTCAATGAAAATTTATAATGGAAAGGTTCTGCTTAGTTTTGCAAATTTACTTCTCCCAAAATTCAAAGCAACACTTAAGTTTGTTAATTCCACAAACTGATTGGAATTATGTGATATGAATTGATGGGTAAGTATTAACTCTCAAATACAACTTTATCTTTGGTGCTGCAAGAATTAATTTAAAGTTTGGAAATTAAGAATGATTCATTCTACTTTGAGATTACTCAACTCTTAGTAGGCCACAATATTAAAAAATGTCCACCTACTATTCAAAGCACGGTGGCTCAAATTAAACCTCCCAGATTGTATACCAGTTTCAATGAAGATGTATGATCCCCTTGTAGAGATGGAAAGTATCCAGAGTCAAAAGACCCAACCAAACAGTTTCTTGGTTTTGTCAGGATTTAGCCTGTCTTTTTCTCCCCATTGTCATACTGATAACTCAGCAGCATAGTAATATAGTAAATTGATATGGTCCATAAAATAGATAAGTTAATAAAATCTTCTACAAACCTCACAAACATTCAAAGTTCAATACAGGTAGTCCTTGATCTATGACCATAATGGAACCTGTCCATTACAGTCACAAGTCATAACAGCCATTAAGTGAGATGGCATCACTTAGCAGGGGTGCTCTCCCTAATGGAATTCTTAAATGATTGTGCGGATTGTTAATTAGAGCATAGGATGCCTCAGGGGTAGGGAAAACCCTGGGAATCCCACCACCCAGCTGGGTCCAAAAAGCAGGCATACAAGCAGCAAAAAGCATTGCAAAACCAAAAACAGCCCACCGGGGAGGGTGTGTGTGTTAGGGTGACTTGCCTTGCTGAGTGATTAGAAAGTTAAAGAGCAGAGGAAAAGAGTGAAAAACAGAAAGAAAATACTTTTCCAATGAGGGTGCAGCATATCCAGCAAAAGCAAAAGAAAGATCCTAAAGAGAGTCCAGACCAGCAGCAAAAAGTTTGGAAACCTTTGGAAAGCTTTCTGCTGTTTGTCTGACTCTTTAGTTTCTGCTGCAACTGTTTGGTGTATGTGCTATACTCCCAATAACTTTGCAGAGTATTTTTTTCTCCACTCAAACAATCCACCGAAGGATTTTCTTTGCTTCATTCATTAAGCCCTCCTTTAAAAACTAACAAACCTAAACCACCTTTCTTTACTCTTCAGCCTGTCCCATGCCAGTCACTGATAAAGGTAATTCACTTATAGATTTTGTCACTCTCTTTCCTGGTGCACATATTGTAATAAGTTTAGCTAATTAAGCGGCTAAGGAGATTAAGACTGGAGGGCAAAGGTGACAATTTAGATTTAGTACCTAATTTTGGGGGGGAGAATGAGAAAGATCAAATGGTATATTTTTCAATCTAAGATAGGAAGTCTGTTCCTTCCAGCTTTCTTTTTTTTAATTGCAAAAATGTGAGTTTGTGGAGGTTGGAAAGTAAGGGAAAGATTTGGGGAAGCTCAACCCAGAGCTGCTGCCTTTGCATGCAAGGGGGTGGCTCCCCCAAAGCCTACCAAGAGGCAGGAGAGGCCTGCAGTCTCCCAACTGCCTGCCAATTATTCTGGAAGCAGCTGCCATTTCTACAAGGAATTTTCACGTTTGAAATGGCAGCTGCTTCTGGGAGGCAGCCTTACAGCCCAGGGATGAGTGGCTTTCCCAAGATGAAGACCAGTAATCTTCAAAAGGTGAGTGTGTGAGTGGAGAGAAGATCCAAGGCTTATGGGAAACCAGCAGGGAATTAGATGGACAAGGATGCTGCAGCATCCTTCGGTCAGTAGTAAGGATGAATGACCACAAGGATGCTGTAATAGATGTAACTTTGAAACAGGATCATAACTAGTTTTGGGGAATCTTTGTGACTTCAACCTAATACTAAGTGACCGGTCATATCTTGAGGACTACCTATATCACAAAGTATGCCTTCAGAAATGATTAAGTATTAGCAAATTCCTGTAATACTAAAAGATCCTACTCTTGTTGTCGTTCTCAGATTGAAAATTTATTACTGATAATCTTCTCTATTATGTAATATATTTGTCTATCCATACAATGCAAAGCAAAACTCTATACACAGCAAAATTTGGATAAAGAAAATATGTTTTCTTTTATCTAATTTTAAAAATGTCTTGAGCATAGCTACACTAAAGATTAATATAGATCTTATGGAAGTAAAATGATAGAGTAGCTATGTGGCAATTGTTGAATTTTGTTTTAATCTTATACACACATACACAATNATACACACATACACAATTAAAGTTTGTGCTACTCTTATACAAATATATGCTGTGTTTAGAGTAGTATGTATAAAATAAAACAATGCAATAGAAGTAATTTGGTTAAAGACTTCTGAAAAATTATTTTAATGATAAAGAATAAAGCCTGAATTATATCACAGAATAAAATACTACAATGTTTTAGCCCTGTGATGGCGAACCTATGGCACACGTGCCACATGGAATCATTTATAGGGCACGCGAAGAGTTGTCAGCTCCAGTGTGCATGCTGGAGAAAGAAAAACAGGTCCATCACATGGCAAAAGTGTGGGGAGGGTGGTGGTCGCATGCAGGGGGATGGGTCACACTTGCATGCATGGGAGGGGGTCACACACATAGAATTTTGGGTGATCCCCCTGCACTCTCCCCATTTTGCCACGCGGTGGTAAAAAGGTTAGCCATTACTGTTTTAGCCTTATAGGTGCCATTAAATTAATGACTTACAAAATGTAAATGTATTGCCACTGTCTATGCTGACTAGAGTCCTAGTTCAGCATTATCTGGTGGGCTACAAGTTTCCCAGAGTATTTTCATGAAACCATTCTCAGCTCAAGGAACTGCCTGAAGTTTGACTAGCTTTAAAATATATAGAAAATTATGCAGAACTTGCTTTACTTAACATGCAGCATTTGTGCAGCATTTGTAGAGAGTAAAGGAAGAAGTAAGAATGAAACTTACCGTGTCCATCAGCTTAAATGTACTACCATCAGTCCTGTCTCTTCTGCTGCTTGGATGAGGTGAAGTGTTTCCAACATTACATACAGATTCTGGGCTTGGGACTGGAGATACTTGTCCAAGGGCTGCAAATTTTGCTTCTTTTTTATTAGAGATCAAGTAATTAATATCTTTGCTGAGGAATCCTTCAACTCTCTAATTGTAAAAAAAGAAAAATATTATTTTGGAATGGGAACACTTATACAAATATTTGAGTAATACTGCTTACTTCACAGAATCTCTAATTCTCATTCATTGACTGTAAGCAGCCGGATTGGGAGAAGGGTTGTTGGGATAACATTGCTATACAAAAAGTGTATTTCAAATCATAAATATTTCATAAAATCAATGTAGATCAGGAGTGTGACATTCAAGGCCCAGGGGCTAGATCGGGGTGGTTAGATATGACTCACGGCGCTGCCCTGGAAACAGCGAAGGACAAGCCAAGCTCTGGTGCCAAAGCTCCGTTTTCACTAGCAGAGGGTTGAAGAAAGCCGTTACAGCCAAAAATGGAGCTCAGGAGCCCATTTTTGCTGGCAGAGCGCTTGGGCTACCACAGACACCCCCCCCAACATGAGTGACATTGAGCTGGCCATGCCCACCCTGGCCATGTCTATCCCAGCCCCCCCCCCCCCCCCCCGAGGTCAAAGACAACCCTGATGTCACCCTCAATGAAATCGAGTTTGACACCTTTGATATAGATCATGCAATATAGGTTGGGATAGTTATATAAAATACCATAAACATATTTATAATATGCAACATAGGACTGGAATTTCCATCATTAAGCAATGCAGTTGTAAAGAAAAACATTACATTACACATTCTGTTATTGTCATTAACTATGAATCATGAGTCATTAATTACTTATTCCAATTCAAGCCATGTTGAGCTTCCTTCCTAATCTGAAGCTTGGTAAGATAAGGGAATTCCTCGTCTTCAACTCCTGCTACCCATCTCCATCATATCTCTAACCCCTTGCCCAAACTATCTTACAGAGCAAAGCAGGCCCAATAGTGTGTTGCTCGGCAGTTATCTTTCATGCCACTGCATGGGGGCTTCTTGGTGTGTCATGATTCTCCGGCTGTAAGAAGTCTCTGAGTTACACATGGCAAATAGCGATCACTTCGGGAAGCCCCAACAGCATGGCATGAAAAAAATTGCCAACTAGTATGGTACAAAGCCTAGCAACGCAACACAAAGTCTCTTGTCCCAGGAAGTCTCAGCTGCCCTCAGCTCTGGATATAATAATTTTATAGAAAATTTTGGAGAAATGGCAATTTTTTTAATAAAAAAAATCCTAACCATGTAGCATTAAATGTAGCTGAACGGTTGTAAAAATTTTGGGAGAAATGCTTAGTAATTCAGTCTTAGCAAGAATATAACATACATAAACTGAATCTGCATTATTCCTTTTCTTTTCTATCTTAAAGCAAAACATTTATATTGACTTACCCCTCCTAGTTCCTTAAGATCTTTTGCAATTTTATCACAGAGGGTGTTAGATGGAATATCAAGATAGAACACTTTCCCAGTAAGTGGTTTGCATTTTGGTTTATCAGGCTTTGTAGAATCTTTCTTTATACTTTTTAGGGGAGAGTTGCTTCTTTCCCTTCTTTCTTGCATGTCACCTGCAATCAAAGTGAAGAATTTGATCCTTATCAGAAACTTATCTGTTTAATCCTTAAAGCCTCTTTTGAAGCAAAAGAGGATTATTGAAAAGTATGTGTAGGTATTTGAGCCTTAATATTTGAGGTATTAAGACCCGGAAAAATATTAGGTATGTTTGCCACCTTGAGTTATAAATAAATAATATGCAAATAGCAATAGCACTTAAACTTATATACCACTTCACAGTGCTTTATAGCCCTCTCTAAGCGGTTTACAGAGTCAGCCTATTGCCCCCAACAATCTCCTTATACCTCTATCACCTCTCCAAAATATGTATTGGAGGGTCAGCAATTGTCCATGATAAATTTGGACAATACAGACTGGAAATAGTTTGACTGAAGAGGGTCTGAATGCAGCTTTTTTTTGTGCAGCGGCCCTCTTCAGAAGGGCCAGGACACACTGCAGCACCACAGCACTAAGAAAAGCAGACGAGAAAGAGCTGCTTAACATCTTTATCCACAATGGCTTTAGTAAAAACTTTGTATTCTGACACACGTTAGCCAAACCAAAACATACCACACAACCAACCACTACCCCAAAACTAAAAAGGATGTCTGAAATGGCAGCCAAAATTCTCCAACCTCTAGGGATAACAAGAATGCACAAAACCACAGCCACACTCTGCCAGGGATTATCCAGAACTAAAGACAAGATACAGAAGGATGAAATAAACATTGTAATTTACAAAATCAGCTTTAACAATTGCAACCAATTCCATGTGGGACAAACATTGCATCAACTGAAAATCAGAATCCATAAACACCATCTGGCAATCAATCGCCAATCCCAAATCCTTCATCCCTATTCACACTGACAAAGAATGGAGCAATGCAAGACTCATCAGCCACATTATCACCCGCCATGCATGCAAATTTATCAAAGCCTGGCACTTCATAAGCAATTCCATCAATGGGACACAATAGACACCTACCACCAGCCTATGAGCTCTGAGAATTCAAATCACACAACCATCAATAGCACCAACCCTCAAACAACTCGCACAACTCCACCACCAGCACTTTACCTCCCAAGGACCCTCACCTGACCTTTCCATCACAAGACCCCCACCTTACGTGAGCCTCCCATTACAAGACCTTCTGACCACACAAAGAACACAGACACTTGACATTCCCTGAAGTTGTTGCCTAACTTGGTAATGAAATGTTCAGAAACCAACCCACCAGCTCTGAGAACGAACCTTCACTGTCAACCTACACCGAGATACAAATATTCACCACTATCACAAACTAGTTCAGCTACACAGAACCTGTTCAAAAATATAAACTTCAAATTAGAAAATGAATTTTTGTCACATTCAGAATTGCCTCAAAAGTCCTCTCTTTACTCTGTTTGTCTTTGTTTTATCCTCCACCCATTGGTATCAAAGTTCCTCACTTCTTCCCTGGATCAGGCAACGCCATTTTTTCCAATTTCTTACCACATTGAAATTTCTAGTATTTCCTAAATTTACTTTCTAAAAACAATAAATATTGCAAAACTTTGTATTCAACTGTTTTGAAACTCATCAAATTTGGTCCTCAGCATATTTTAACCCAAAAAACTTTTCTCAGTACTCATCGCACCAGTTAGAACTTGTCAGTTTTCTGCCTTGTGACTCACTACATTATTCCTTGTGGGGAAAATGTGTTTGGTACTCATCATTTTTGGTACTTATTGTGCCTCCCAGAACCAATTAACAATGAGTATTGAGGTATCATTACATCTCAGGTTTTTTTTGGAAAGATATTATTTTTCTTAATATTTAATTAGAAGTATCAAAAGTGTGAATGACAGAAAGAGACATGTCCACAAACATGTTTCAGTGGATGCAGAAAAAAAACCCTATACTCAAAATTACTAGCCAATATAATTCATATTCCTTCACAATCCCACTTTTAAATATCAGTTTTGCTTGTAGACCATACATAGAGCATATTCCAACATGTAGCATTATCAAGAGATCACACTTATAAAATGAATAGAGATAATAGATTTGAAACTCAAAGGTTTCAGTTTGCTGGATTTAGACTGTAGTCCTAATCAGGAAAATATTTAGATTGTAGCCCTAATTAGGAAGATGAAATCAAGAAAATTCCATTTCAAGTAAACGAAAAACATTCCAAGACAAAGAAAAGCAATCCTATAAACATATATATGCTTAATTTCATTACAACCAAGTGGTCAATTGTCAGTTTATCATCTCCTCAGGGACTGATTTCCCCAGAAACTGTTGTTATTCTAAATGTTTTAACAATCAATTCTTAATAAACTATACAAGGTGGTCTCACTCACCATTTATTATATAAATTACATTAAAACTGGTGCCATTTTTTCTAAACATTATTTGTTTGATGCCCTTTGAAACATTCCTAGGTACAATAACATTTTTTCTGAAAAGAATAAATAAAATATATAATTGGTCTATGGGGCCTGACTTCAAGTATACTATTAGGCTGAGGCTACATTAGCCTCAGAAAGATTTTCAGTACTGGTTTTAAAATCACCCTTATGCAGAGAAAGATATTTCAAAATTACAACTGGGTTACTTTAAGTTATTGCTTATTATTTTAAATAAATAATGTCACCCAATATAAATAACAAATAAATAAATTTAAATAAATTACAGACAACCAACTTCATTATGATTATCCATTGCCTACGTATCTAATACTTACCTACTTGTGTATTTAAAGCATATCTTTTTAAAAGCGAAAACACTGACTCTTTTTGGCACAGTACTCCAAGTCAATAAAATAATTCAGCTAATACTGCACAGAATAAGCCGGGGTGGGGGAGGGGTGAAAATTCAGGAGGACATCAGAAATACCAAAAATCAGAAACTTTAGCTATTTTTCTGACCCAGACACCCCCTTCAACTTATCAAGGGGAATTTTAGCGCTCTCAATTTCGCAAAGAAAAGAAAGAAAAGCCAATCTGAACCCAAAAAGTTTTTTTCGGGCCTTTTCGGAGGGAAAACAAATCAAATCACTTCTCGAGTCACGATCGCCACACAGAAGGCAAAATGAAGACTTACAGGGAAACTGTCCTTTGCTGCCGCTTTTCAAACCACCCGGTTTCATTTTGCTGGGAAGTCACATTTTCTGCACCCTCATCTCCCCACGACGGTTACGATCTACAAGGAAAGAGCGCAGAACAATTAAAATGCCCCAAAATTCTTTCTTTTTAAAAAAAACCAATTAAAGCTGAGGGGCGGGTTCCGTGTGCGCTTCCTGCAGCTAACGGCTTCCTCCCAAGGTTTCTGCCTCCCTCCCTCCATTCACGAGGCGGAATTTGCAATCTTCCTCCCGTACCCGTCGCCCCGCCGCTGCCCGGCCCCGTCCACTCCCCCACCCCCGAAGGGACGGTTGGTGTTTGAAATGTACATTCCCGCCGCTCGAACCGATCCCCGGGCCTCGGCTCACCCCAACCCAGAAGATCCCATGGGGCTGGTGACGGTCGCTGTTCAGGATCTACTGCGCCAGTCGGCCATCGCGCTTTTTTTTTGTCAGCCGCGCTTTCCCGCCTTTGCTCATCCGGGCCTACCAGGCACTGTCGGCGCTGGCTTTGCCTCCCTGGTTGGGCTGAGCTAGGGCAGAGGCGGCGCCACACAACAAGGAGGAGCAGAGCTGACAGGGCAAAAGCATCCCTTTTTTTCCTCCTCCTCCTCCTCCTTCGGGGCGCTGTGAGAGGAAAGTGGCTAGCCGTGATCTTCTTCCCCACCCTTCACCTCTTCGGTAAATGGCCATTGAAGAGGCAAGGAGCACGGACACGTGCCGATCTTCTCGCTAAAAGAGCGGTTTCCCCCTAAACATGTGGTTGTTGAAAGTTACCTTGTGAGGTGAAAAAAGGGTGCTCCTCTTCTGGCGGCCTCGGTAGAAGTCCTAAATGTTAAGAGGGCACGATGCCTTTTTAAAAGCGGGGAGGGCGGGGAGGAAGAGATAATCCTCAAGAGATTCGGAGAATGAGTCTCCCATGGGAAAAGAGGCGTTGATTGAATTGGCATTAGCTTTTGTTATGTTAAAGACCCGGGTGAATTCCTTGCAAGATAAGAAGAGGGACCATCTCAGAAGGTACAAATAAAAGAATATTTGTAGCTCAGGGTTGAAAGAAAATACCTCCCCACCAGCAATCAACAACCAAATGAGCATAGATTAACTCCAAGGTTAACATCAGGCCAAGGATTAAGAAGTGAACAATGCCCCAATCAAGGAACTGCCAAACAGCTCAACCAAAGAATCTCCCGCCAACACCCACAGGGCAAGTCATAGAATAAAAACAGTAAATCCCCCTCCTTAATAAGCACTGATGGTGTTATTACCTAATTTGTGTAGTGAATGGTCCTCAAGAAAACAACCAAGCTCTGGTCTCAAGATATTCACTCACTTGAAAGATTTTTATTCTGCCCTCCTTTCCTCAGAAAAGAGGCTTAGCAGCCTACAGAATTGCTGTAATAGATAAGGCTGAATTATCTAGGTGATCACTTAAGGCTATTCAAAAGATTTCATGATAAACCAAGGACTAGCTTGACTGCTTTGAAACCAACATGTTAACTTTGGACTGATTTGAGCCAATCCAATTAACAGAAATAAAATTTCAATTCAATTCAATTTATTAGATTTATAGGCCGCCCAATCCCAGAGGTATCCTTTGTTCTTGTGAATGGCAGTTCCCATGTTTTATGGGGTCAGAAAATATCTCAAATAATCCATAGGTGTTGAGAGTATTTCTGATTCAAAGAAAAAAAGTGTTTTGGGTTTTTTTAAAAATTGCTTTTTGAATTATATTCTAGCCTGCATTGAAGCAAATTCTAACTGGATTCTGGAATGTTTCTCCTGTGACAGATCAGAGCCATAAGGTTGAATTATTTTTAACAGGTATCCCCACCCCACCCACCCCAAGAAAAATGAAGGATTATGAAGACAAAGGAAATATATCCCAAGGAATAACAACTCTTCAGCAAATTGTCGTTTCCTGTTGTGGTGCTATTCTAACATCCGTTTTGGGTAAGATCAAATATTAGAACCATTTAAACTTCCCTAAATCTGCTTTTTAAGGGACACAGTGGCTAAGATGCTGAGCTTGTCAATCAGAAGGTCAGCAGCTCAGCAGTTTGAGTCCCTAGTGCCACATAACAGAATGAGCTCCCATTACTTGTCCCAGCTTCTGCCAATTTAGCAGTTCGAAAGCACATAAAAATGCAAAAAGAAAAATATGGACCATTTTGGTGGGAAGGTAACAGCACTCCATGTACCTTCAGCATTGAATCATGCTGGCCACATGACCACAGAGACGTCTTTGGACGGCACTGGCTCTTTGGCTTAGAAACAGAGATGAGCATCGCCCCTATAGCCAGAAAACACACACGCGTGTGTGGGGGAAAATTTACCTAAGTGTGCTTTTATAGTATTTATAGTATTGCTCCTATCTTTCTGCTCAGATGAATTCAACTGTTGTGCTCTAGAAATCAGAGCTTAAGTTTTTCTTCCCTTAGTTAAAGTTACATGGCTAGTGTTGTTTTTAATCTATTAAAAATCTATTTATTAACATAAAAAAGCATTTTAATATGTTGGTTGTTTGATTGTCTTAGTGACACCTTTAGATGTTGTCAAAGTTCGACTTCAGGCTCAAAGCAATCCATCCCTGAAAGGTAAACCCATATCTTTATGTATTTGCAGAGTTGATGGGAGATAATTTCTTCTCAAAGGTTCACATTTATGAAATTGATATTATTCTTTAAGTCCATATTAGAAATGTTATTTGCATTTGCTGATCTGCACTTGCTAAGATGAATATACATTTTATTTGATGCTGATTTATAACATAAAGATATCATTTGGTATGTTTTCTTTAGAAATTGTTAAGTCATATATATTTCCCCACTATTTTGTTCATTCAAAGAATTTTTTTTCTAGTTTTATCGGTATTGTTTGGAATAAGTATAACAATCTTGGTAATATATTCATCTTTACTACTGCTATTCTTCCCATCAATGATAATGGTAGATTTTTCCATCTTTCCAAGTCTATTTCTATAACCTTATAATAGTTATCCTCCTTTACTGTTCCACACCTTGATGTCAATTGAATACCCAAATACTTCACTTTTTTTACCACCTGTATGTCCAGTTTCCCCATCAACTCTTTTCTGTTTTTCTGTCATATTTTTCACCAGAATTTCTGTTTTATCTTTATTAATCTTCAAGCCCCCTACTTCTCCATATTCTTCTATTATTTTAACTAGTTTTGGCCCTGTTTGGATCCTCCATAATTAAAACACCAAATCATCCGCAAATACTTGTAATTTATACTCTTCTTTCTTGACCCTCACACCTTTAACCTCTTTGTCATATTTCTCTATTCAAAATCTCTAGTGTCAGTATAAATAATAATGCTGATAGTGGACATCCTTGTCTAGTTCCTTTCATAATCGCTATCTTTCCTGTCATATCAACATTTACCATTCCTTTGCTGATTGGTTATTATATATCATTTTAATCATATTTATAAATCCCTCACCAAAACCCATCATTTGAAGTTGCACTATCATAAATTGCCAGTTCACATTATCAAAGGCCTTTTGAGCATCCAGAAACAACAACACCATTTGCTTTTCTGGGTGGGCTTCATAGTACTCTAGCGTGTTCTCCAGTGCACTGCTCGGAGAGTCCAATGCTGGGTTAACACAGCCTATCTGCCCTTGGACTGA